CCACTGCCCCCATTGTGGACCCTCAGGGGTCCACAACGGGTATAGTGGGATGGGAATAAACTCACATCTGTAGACTGAGAGCCCACAATGGGTGGAGTGGGTCTGGGAAGAAACCCACATGTGGATATCAAGAGACCACGATGGATTTAGTGAGCCTGGTAATGTACCGTCTCTTTTAGTCATGAGGGAACACTAAATGCCCATAGGGGTCAAACAGTGCCAACAGAATGGGAGGCATTCATGTTCAATTCAAGGAAAGAGATGAAAAGTCCCATTCCATGGATCAAGAGCCCCTCGCCAACAACAAGGAACCTCAAGGGAAGCATATATATCCATACACCTCTGCTGTGAGCAGATGTCTGAGAGCACAGGTTAGTGTGAATGATAAACTGTCATATTTTGTGTGGCAGGTTAGTCTACCAAAAAAAAAAAAAAAATGAAAGTAGGAGAGTCTACACCATAGATGGGACTTTCAACAAGGTGGTCAGCTAGAGCACGTCAGGGTGTTGTTGATGGCACAAATAATGACTGTGTACTCTCTGGTAGACATGATAGTCTATTAATGTGTACTTAACTTGGTACTCTGTGCCAAGAGGTCCCAGGAGACTTTCCATATATCCGTCTGTTCAATTTGTGATTTTTGAGCATGGTTCCTAATGCCCAAATACAATGGAAAGATGGCCAGGAGCCATCAGTCTTAAAATCAGGGACCTCCCTGTGAGACTAGTAGACTGAACCATAGATCGAGCAGCTTCATCAGCATGTGTGTTACCTTGGGCATCAATGTGCCCAAGAGCCCAGCAATATAATGACTTGTACTTGCTTTTAATTCTAGAGTGGTCAAATCTTTCAATTCATAGTGCACAACTGCTGCATAATCATCAGTCAGTAAACATCTGACTACTTTAACATAGACTCCAGTGCTTTTGAAACCAATTACAGTAATGGCATTATCTCCAACAATTGCCTGCTATCAGATGTATCTTATGAATTTGTACAAAAGGATTTAAGCACTCTGATCCCAGCTAAAAGCACCAAACCTAATAACATTCAGTCAGATTCCCAAAAGATGGTGTCTCAGAAGTAAAAGTATCCATAATACATTTATCAGTCAAGAAAATACAGGTCTCCCTCAACATTCACGTTTTCAGCTTTCGCGGGCTTCACACATTCGCGAATTCCCAAACGCCAAATTCCCAGCCGCCAAATCATATTCAAGTTTCCTGCCACCTGGGAGTCCCTACTACCCTCCCTCCGACCCCCACAACTGGCAGCCAGCCCTCCCACCACTGTGTGGTGAGTGTTTTGTTTGTTCATTATTTGCTATTAAACTGCAGTATAAATAATGTAAACACATTCATGACTGCATATTGGAATGGCTATTCGGACAGGTATTGGACGGTGACATGTGTTTACTCTTGAACACAGCAAAGAATCAAACATTTCTGCTACTGCTAATAATAACAATAGTAATAAAATAATAATAATAATAATAATAATAATAAATACGATATAATTGAAGAAAGAAATTGTACAAAAATACGAGGGAGTGGTTGACACATCGTCAGTGTGGCTTTGTTTATGCTGGAGTGAACATTAGTCTCCCTGCTCTTCTAAACATTTCACAATAATGCATTGTGTTTGGTACTTGTAGATTGAGTGCGACTGGAGTGGTAGAGGCAGTGGTTGAGGCAGCTGTTGAGGCAGCGATTGAGGCAGTGGGCGAGGCAGCTGTTGAGGCAGCGACTGAGGCAGTGGTTGAGGCAGTGGGTGAGGCAGCGATTGAGGCAGCTGTTGAGGCAGCGATTGAGGCAGTGGGTGAGGCAGCTGTTGAGGCAGCGGTTGAGGCAGCTGTTGAGGCAGCTGTTGAGGCAGCTGTTGAGGCAGCTGTTGAGGCAGCTGTTGAGGCAGCTGTTGAGGCAGCTGTTGAGGCAGCGATTGAGGCAGCTGTTGAGGCAGCTGTTGAGGCAGCTGTTGAGGCAGCGATTGAGGCAGCGATTGAGGCAGTGGGTGAGGCAGCTATTGAGGAAGCGATTGAGGCAGCTGTTGAGGCAGCGACTGAGGCAGCTGGTGAGGAAGCGATTGAGGCAGTGGCATTTAATAACATACATGTTATTAATAATAATAATACATGTTATTAATATGTACTATTATTATTTATAACACATATGTTATTAAATACCACTGCCTCAACCGCTGAATTATTGTGAAATTTTTGGAAGAGCAGGGAGACTAACGCTCACTCCAGCATAAACAAAGCCACACTGACGATGTGTCAACCACTCCCTCGTATTTTTGTACAATTTCCTTCTTCAATTATATCGTATTATTATTATTATTATTATTATTATTATTATTATTATTATTATTATTATTATTATTACTATTACTATTGTTATTATTAGCAGTAGCAGAAATGTTTGATTCTTTGTTGTGTTCAAGAGTAAACACATGATGTCACCGTCTAATACCTGTCCGAATAGCCATTCCAATATGCAGTCATGAATGTGTTTACATTATTTATACTGTAGTTTATTAGCAAATAATGAACAAACAAAACACTCACCACAGTGAGTGGTGGGAGGGATGGCTGCCAGTTGCGGGGGTCGGAGGGAGGGTAGTAGGGACTCGCAGTGGTGGTGGAAGTGGTGGAGGAAGTGGTGGAGTCTGTGGTATTTAATAACATACATGTTATTAAAGCATAACATGTATATATTTAGTACAATTTACGACGTTTTCATGTATTTTATGATTGTTCATGGTTCAACAAGTTAAGGAGGCAGTATTGTATTATATTTCCCTACAATATATTGGGGCACCAAACATTCACGGTTTTTCAACATTCGCGAGGCTTTTGATCCCCTAACCCTCGCGAAATGTTGAGGGAGATCTGTATAGATCAGATGTCAGCAACTGAAGACCTATTAGAATCCTCACATGCAATGCCCAGACTCTTAGAGAGCAGTATAGTATGAAATAGTTAAGTATCTTGGTTACAATATCCTCCACAGTTACCAATCAAGTTTCAGGGGACTGCCTCATTGGATATCCCCACAATTAACGTGATGAATTATGAAAGGAATTTCAGTGGTATTGTGACCTTAGATCTACAGAAAAACTTCTGATACACCATTAACCCTTTGACTGTCGCAGCCCCTTTCTGAAACTGTCATTCTACGTCGAAAAATTTTTGGAAAAAAAAAAAAAAATCTTGTGAAATGATAGAGAATCTTTTCCTGATGGTAATGACACCAAAAGTAGGAAATTTGGTCGAAAACTCACGGAATTACACTCCTGCGAACTTAGCGGTCTCAGCGACATATACTCATCGGCGATTTCGCCGACTTTGAGCCCTGTTTTTGGCCAATTCCGTTATTCTAGTTCACCAAATTCATAGCTACTTCTTTAGAACTCCATGTTTTTTATCAACTGAGTACAAGAAACCGCCCATTTACCGATTTGAACTACCCAATAAAGTGGTCAGAAATTGGCAATTTGGCCAATTTCATACAAATTAAAAAAGATGCCAATTTCAAAATACATAGAGTCCAGAATAAACAATGTAGACATTCTTGGCACTAAAATAACATATCCTCTGTTCATTAGTCACGTCTCTAGGCCCCTCTATTACTATTACTTTCTATTTTGATTTTTTATTCATACAAAAAATAGATGATTTACTGTTATGCAGGCTACTGCATTATTGTAAAAATGGTATAAATAATATCAGTGCACTAGTGAAAGATTATTAGACTCCCCAGTTGACGTGTATTGGACGTGTGTGATTTGCTTACTCTTGAACGTTGGTAAAAATCGAACATTTCCGCTACTTTGAGCTCAATTTCAAGGTCATTTTCATCGTGAAACTAATCAAAATCATCTCTATTTCTGTAATATGTGCTCCATTTTATCACGTGAGACCATGAAAACGAGAATACAACTATAAATACCATACGAAAATACACCTCAAAGTCGGCGTTTTAATCCAAAAAAATGGCCGGAATTTTTTTTTTCCTCATTATGTACTGCGTGCTGCAGGATTTTTTTATATGGTGCACACTGACCACACAGACCCATTCTCTCACATGCGGGCCTACCAGCTTTCTCCTGCTTGATTTGAAGCCGCTAGAATTATCGAGTATACATGTATATACGTTCGAAACACTGGCTCGTAAGATGTATATATACCACCAAAACAGTCAAAGCCTGGTCCCAAGTCTATCACAGAAAACCAAGATTATGCAACATTATGCAAGAAACTACAAACAACTGGCACAAACTCTGTGGACAGATTTACCCTTACCTGAATGAAAAACAAGTGGTAAAGGTCAATAATTCAGAATCAGAATCTCTGCATAAGAGATTATAGAAAGGCACTACTGGGTATCAGAGATGGTGGGCAACTCTGGAGTAGATAAGTTATTCTTCCTTTTAGGCGAGTCGAGTAACAGCTTGATTATACGTCAAACCTTCTTTCCAACACCAGATTTTGCTTTCCCAGAGAGGGAGAACCTGCGAGAATACAGGAAATATGTACAATCATCTCTCAGCTATTAATAGGGGTCAACAAACTGGCACAACTGCCACAAATCATAAACTCTCAGTTGCCACTCCTGGATCCACAGACAACTTCTAGTACTACTTCCATTATCAAGCAGTCTATCATGCCCTAAGATGATCCAATTTCCATCGGGTAAACTGACATGATTACCACAGTGATACCAACAGAAGCTCTGTTAAAAACATGACTAATGTGGTCATCACCAAAGTGATTGCTTCTATCTTTTGTCTCATACACATGTAAAATGATAAGTACATCTTGCAAATTTCTACTTACATTCAGCATATACTTAATCTTAACCTTCTACCGTCATTAAAAGCCCTAATTATTGTAATATTTTCTGTTAAATTTACAGGGCCAGGTCTGAGACTGAGCCTTGGAGATAATGTTCAACAGAACCATCAGTAGTTTACATACAGGTTGGAAGCAAAATACAGTAAACGATCTGGCATACTGTTAATGACTTGTAAATAGGTTTTTATTCATACATTTACAACCATTATCTATTTAAACATGCTTTGTAGTGGTGCAAATTCTAAGATTGCAACCTCAGCGAGGCAACTGATACCCATTCCACAGGTGCCGTCTTTTGTGAAATATACACTAGCGCACACACCCACTTTACTGAAGATTGTGGGGGGTAATGGGAGGTGTGCTCTAACATAAGAGATAATAAAAGCACCCACACAATGTAAAATATCAACACCTCACTCATAATCAGGCATCACATACCATAAAGAACAAGTTAATGTGGAAGCTCGGTATCTAGTTGTGCCCTTCCATTTGTGGTAACAATGTGACCGGATCAGCCACATGGAACCTTAGATAATACATTAATATATCAGTCCTGTTATTTTAAACATTTAATACTTCAAACTGTATTAAAAGAAATTTTTTATATAAACAACGTCTTGCAAAACAATCAACGTAAAATGGAAAAAAATTACTGGTGCATTAAAACTGAAGACAGGAGTCGAAGTAAGTCCTTAAATATAAACAGGTGTTCCACAGAGTGGGGTACCTCAGTCATGGACCTGGCTCATAAGACAATGGTCAGTATGTATTAACACTGGCCATTATATTTTCATAAACTGTATGTGTGAAAACACATTTTTTAAATAAATTACAAGCTCAATATTCTGCATCATTAAATTAAAAAGCTAAAAATATGATGTATGTATCCATTTGTATTCATACACAATTCTATATATTTTGTGAATCTATCAAAATACTATATAATGTACTATATATAAGAGAAAAAGATTAGAGTGCAATGAAAAAGCTGGCCTTATAATATGCTATCAAAAATATATTATTCCCATCTACATTCAGAAATGAAAGTGAGGAATGAAGTGAAATGATTGGTATCACACACAACGTACATATTCCTCATGGTTCCATTTACCCTCAATAAAAACACGTCAGAGGTTCTGATGACAATATAAGCAATACTTTACTCTTGTAATTACATATCAACATTTTTGACATTTCGATGGAACACAATCTGTCACACATAAAAGAAACATTATTAAACAATAGTCTGAAAATGAACGAGGATAAAATTGTTCAACGTGTTATGCGAAATGTAGTGTAATTCAATACTGCAACTGATGATTATGATTAAATGTTACACATTCACAACAGTCCAGGAGAGGGGAAAAACATTAAAGTGATATACACGATACATTAAAACTCATACAACAGTCTAAGTAGAAAAGTTTGCAAAATGTTAACTATATTTAGCAGCCATAGATATTCAAAAAAGATTAGAGCAAAGTAAACTTAACCAAGGAGAAGCCCAAATTTACACTCATTACTTATACTCTTTTGAAAAGCATTAAAAACCTTTCTTTTTTTTTTTTCCTTGAAGAAGAGGAGGATGGGTTAAAATTCTTAAAATTAAGTTGATATATAAATTGAAAGATCACTTGGCCTCAAATACAAAACACACGTAAGAGACATGTATATTCCCCTCTTGAGAGAGACTTCTGTAAAAATGTACGGCTCTTCAAGTATTTTCTCACTTTATATCCATCAGTTTGATAATTTAATCCAAGAATATATTGAAATGAAATGTGGATGTAGGTGCAGCAAATATTCATCCGCTTCTATTGATCATCATTTTGCAGTATTATGCTCTTTTAATAATAAACTCTTTTAATATAAACTGTATACATATTTATTGATGATGAAGCGCTAAACTTGAAGGGGTCATACAGTGCCTGGGAATGTGAGGTAATCAGGTTTGATCTAAGGCAAATGGTAGTTTCCAATTCCTTGCATCAAGAGCCTTCCACTAGCATCAGGGCAAACCCTCTTGAAGGATAAGATAGTTACAAAAGACAGCTTTATATTGCAAACTAAATAATGGAGGCTAAAATATGAGGTAATACAATTATAACTATTAACAAAAATAAACCTTAAAACCCTCTACAGGTAAGATTGTATGCATAAATAATACAAAACATGTAATATACAAATTAGCTAAATCAACCAGAGGGGAGGAGAGAACCGAGTGGCAATGTGAATGACTCTCCATCTTCTCACCACTACCATACTGCTAACAAATAACAACCTCAAAACTTGTAGATCAAATCTCAACACAGTGACACAGTTTACTTAGTATAACACACCGAATTACTAGTCTTGAGAAAGCAGTCAAGATCAAATACACATGTCTATTCTTTATACAGAATTAAAGTTGAAGTAAGGCATATAATCAGTGAGCAAAGAGCTGATAACCTTATAATTCACTTAATATACATTCTCACTTAAATCAATATCTCGGCAATAATCGTTTACAGCTGTTACTCAGGGATGGCAAGTCTTATAATTACAGCAAACTCTCAATGTGACTCACTAATAGGAATAATAGTGACTGTAGGAGGGAGAGTCAGCTCTATTAAGCTCCTCTATATAAATGCAATTTTCACGAGATTAAATAAATGCGTCAAAAATTTAACAGCACATACTATAAAGGCTTTTCCACACACTATTTAATTTTGGTTGCACTTTCAATCACAGTAACGAAAAATTACAATATGTAAAGGAGCTTCATAAAAATTGACTCTGTAGAAGCAAGACCAATTGTCCTGTGATTGTAACAAAAGAGTTTAATTCTTCAATCAACACACTTTGTCCACTGATTCCGAATCAACCGACCCAACAGATTTTGTACTACAAATACAAATAAAAATCAAGTCACAATTTACTATGGTATCCCGTCCTTTACTACTGGCATACTACTGAACGAACTTGCATCTTTGACTTGCATTTCAAACCCACACAAAGTTTTGCCTTTACTGTACCTGCTAATCAGGCAACCCTGGCCTATCAGTTCACTAACAGTTCACTTGTTATTCAGTCTTCAACTTGGTGACATGCCCCTTACTGAGTCTGATACACTTAACTGCATCCAAGATTCAAATCCAGAATACATTATTTATACATACATACATTTTCATACATAAATATTTATACAGACATACATATATACATGCATTTTCACTGCTGTTTTCTTAGCATCAACAAGTATTCATTATGCTTTTATCATACATAGCATGTACCACATAAGTATACATACCAAACCCTCATAACATGGGTGATACATTCCTGTGATTGAGTGAAGTACACATGGGAACACACTAGGGTCATGTTTCAGCGACTTACAAATTTTGCGACCAACTCTTTTTAATGTATCCTTTCAAGGAGGGGTTTGGGATATTGGCTGTTTGGAGGGTCATCTAAACGGCTGTATCTGAGTGCCTCTGCAAACACTGATTATCTGTGAATGATGGTGAAAGTTTTTTTTCTTTTTTTGGGGGGTTAACCTGCCTCAGTGGGAAATGGCCGACATGTTATTAAAAACAAAAATATCTTTTTGACACGATAAGCTAAGGAAAGGGTTAACGTGGCCCTACTGGGCTGACGTGCATGTAGCAAGGCTTATCAACTCAACACTATATACACATGTGAACATCATAATAAAAGTCACATTTCCTTACCAAATTGTACCAAACATATAAGAACTTACCAAACCAATAACAAAGCTTAATGCAGTGGTATTTAACAAAATGGTTAGAATTTTTTGTTGTTATTCTTCAAGGATTTCAATAACACATGCCATACAAAGTGACAACTATGGGTCAACGTGTCAAACTGTGGCCCTATAAATCCCATTATACCTTCCATCACACAAGTTTCTTGCTTAAATAATGTATCGCATTTTACTACCGATCACCATTATGTTCAACAATATAACTCAGAATATGTAATTATGCTACTGTATATGATACTAGGTCAATATCCAGAATATAATAGTTATTGTCCTTTACTGAACATTTTAATATCTTTGACGAATATTCTCTTAAATTTTTTTTTATAAAGGTGCCTGATATAAATTAAGCATTCACAAATAACACATATTTGAGAACACATGTCTTAGGTAGGAAACATTGTCTAGTGACTTGCTTTCGCTCAGTGGCAGCTCTGGGCACTCTGCAGCTACTGCTCAAATTTAATGTTACTTGTATATATCTTTTTAAATTTACAGAGCTTAACAGCCAAGGTTATTTAGTGCTATGGAAGGAATGCTGTAATTTTGAAAGTGTTCAGCCAAAGTCACACAATGTAAGGTCATGCTATGAGTGGGTACAATACACATAAATACTGTATGTGCACATGCATACATGCACATACACATGTGCATACACACACATTTATCATGATCCCTAATAATGACAATCAAACATCACATACTCTCACATTTGGAATGTTAGGATAACCATGATGCAAGTTTTTGCAAAGATCTCATCTAACCCCACATACATAAACACATAAAATAAATAAATCAATATATATATAAATATGTGTGTGAAGCATGGGTTATGAATGTTGTAGCTAGAAGGAGGCTGGAAACAGAAGAGGTGCCATATCTGAGGGCAGAGTCCAGCGTGAATATTATGCAGAGAATTCGTAGCTTGGAGATTAGAAGGTGCAGGGTTACTAAAAGTATTATCCAGAGGGCTGAAGAGGAGTTGTTAAGACAGTTTGGGTATTAAGAGAGGATGGAACAAATTAGGATGACTTGAAGGGTGTATATATCTGTAGTGGGGGGAATGCAGGGTAAGGGTTGCTCTATTAAAGGTTGGAGGGAGTAAAGGTTTTGTGTGAAAGGGCCTTGGACATCCAGCAGGTGTGAGCATGTTAGGTAAGTGGTTTTTGGGACTTGGCAAGCTGTCAGTGTGAGCAAGGTAACATTTTGTGAAGGGATGCAGGGAAACCAGTTAGTTGGACTTGAGTCTTAGAAGTGGTAAGTAGAGCCTGCACTCTGAAGGGAAGGGGGGTTAGAGATATTTGTAGTTTGGAGGGGCATCTGAACTGTAGAACTGATGCACCTCTGACAAGATAGTGATGGTGTGAATGATGGTGAAAGTGTTTCTTTCTCGGCTCGCCCTACCTCGGTGGGGAGACAGCCAATGTGTTAAAAAAAAAATTATATATGTATTTTTTTTTAACTCAACAGTCATCTTCCACCAGAGAAGAAGAAAAAAAACATTCACCAACATTCACTCAATTGCCATCTATGCACTGAAGTGGTGACATCACAATCAGCTTACCCTCTGCTTGTAACATCTCCACCCCCTCCTTCAAGAGTGCAGACACTACTCTTTTCTGCTGTTGGAGTGTGAGCAGGATAACTTTTATTTGGAGATTCAAGAGAAACTGGTTAGCTGGATGAGTCCTGGAGGTGGAAAGGGCAGTGCTTGCACTTTGAAGGATGAGTGAGGATGATTGTGATGTCAGCACTCTTCTTGAAAT